TTTGGGGCTCTTGACTTCCTAACTGTCTGCTGCAGGAGAGATTCAAGAGAGATCAGGGTGACTTTCAAGTCGGTCTCGGGCGTGGTGTGCCGCAAGGTATCAGCCATTCTCCAGCTCCGTGGAGCCCAGAGTGACGGGGAAGGGAGCTTAGGGCCTTCAGAAGGGATATGGGCTTGGTCCATGAACGTCCTGATTACAGCAGTTACTAAGCTGTGAATTACTTTGGAGGTCTGGGAAATGTTCCTGGAAATATCTGAGGGCTGGATAATTTCCATCTGTTTATGAAGACTTTCATGGAACCATTCTGGAGGGAGAGTGGCAGTTTGCCGGCTCTGATAGAGATGGGCAGATAAAAGTGGGCTCTTTTTTCCCTTTGTGATCGTGATGGCCTTTGCCCTTTGCCTCTGGAATGCATCGCACCCTTTTCCCTTTTATGGGTGTACTGTCTGGTGGCCAAAAAAATCTTGGAGACAGAAAGCTGTGTCCAGCCAGGGCCCAGGACATCACAGGGCTTCATCCAAGTGTGAGGCAGCCAAGCCCATCACAGGGCTTCCATTTTATTTTGAAATGAAAGTAGAAGCACTTCTGTTGTTTTGTCTTCCCTTCTACTTGGAAACCCCACAGATGCTGTGGGAAGATTGCAGGTCAAAGCCAGAGGAGAAAGAAGGCGAACTCATGAAGGGAAATTGTCTGCAGGAAGGACTCTGCCCTGCTCCCTTACTTTCCAAGTTCACTTAGCTGCCTACCCTAAGGGACTGAGCATTTTCATAGGGAAATTACTTAATTTTCAGCCATTTCCGGCTTGCCAGAGTTGAAGGTAAGAGGAAGAAACAGGATCCTGGGAATAAACACAGTAGGCAGGCCTAGATTTGCAAGTCCCGGGGAATATGAGAAGGGTCTGGCTGACCTATTCTTTTTTTTGAAAAAAATAGATCTAGGGATTCCCTAGTGGCGCAGTGGTTGAGAGTCCGCCTGCCGATGCAGGGGACACGGGTTCGTGCCCCGGTCCGGGAAGATCCCACATGCCGCGGAGCGGCTGGGCCCGTGAACCATGGCCGCCGAGCCTGCGCGTCCGGAGCCTGTGCTCCGCAACGGGAGAGGCCACAACAGAGGCCCGCGTAAAGCAAAACAAACAACAACAACAACAAAAAAATAGATCTAGTCAACTATTGACATACAATAAACCACACATATTTAAAATGTATAATTTGATGTTTTGATATATATTTGTATCTACATGTGTGTATGTATGTTTGCATATGTGTGTCTGTATGTATGTATATGTATATCTCCATGAAACCATCACCACAATTAAGATTTCGAACATATCCACACCCCCAAAAGTTTGCTCTTGCCCATTTGTCATCCCTCCTTTTCACCCTTCCCCACCCTCCCTTATCTCTTTCCTGTCACTATAGGTGAGTCTTCATTTTTTATAATTTTATAGAAGTAGAATCAAATAGGATGCACTCTTTTAGTCCAGCTTCTTTCACTCACATGATTATTTTGAGATTCATGCGGTTTGTTGCTTGGATCAACAGTCCCTTCCTTTCAAAGCTGAATGGCATCCCTCTGTGTGTTTATACCACAATCTTACCAGTTCACCTCCTGATGAATATTTGGGCTGGTTTTGGCTGCTACAAATAAAGCTTCTGTGAACCTTCATGGACAAGTCTTTGTATGGACGTATGCTTTTATTCTCTTGGGTAAGTAATATTGAGGAGGGTCATGGCTGTATCAGATGGTAGAAGTTTGTCTGACTTTTCTAGGAGACCACAAAGTGTTTTCCGAAGGGACTGTACGTTTGTGTACATTCCCACCAGTGACATATGAGTGTTCCATCCTGTCACCCCACATCCTTGCCAAGACTTGGTCAATCTTTTTCATTTCAGACATTCTAACAAGTGTGTAGTGGCATTTCATTTTGGTTTTAAATTTCATTTCCCTGATGACTAATAATGATGAACATTTTCATGTGGTTATTTGATATCCACATGTCTTATTTGGTGAAGCGCCTGTTCAAATGTTTGTCCATTTAAAAACAACTGAGTTGTTGATTTTCTTTTAAAATTTTTAAAATAGACATAGTGTTGTTCAGGCTATATCTATTTCTTCTTGAGTGAGCTTTGATATTTAGTGTGATATTTCAAGGAATTTGTCCATCTCATCTAAATTGTCAAATTTATTGGCATAAAGTAGTTCATAATATTCCCTTATTATCCTTTTAAATGTCTGTAGAATTTGTAATGATGTCATCTTAAATTCCTTATACTATAATATGTATCTTCTCTCTTTATTGATCTTTTTAAAGGCCTAGCTTTTAGTTTTGTTGATGTTCTCCATTGTTTTTCTCTATGGTTTTCTATTTCATTGATTTCTGTTCTGATTGTTATTATTTCTTCTCCTTACTTTGGGTTTAATTTACTCTTCTTTTTCTAGTTTCTAGAGGTAGAAGATGAGGCCATTGGCCTGAGACCTTTCTTCCTTTCTAATATATTTGTTTAGGGCTATAAATTTTTCCTGAGTACTGCTTTAGCAATATCCTACAAAATTTGAAATATTGTACTTCTATTTTCATTTAGTTCAAATTATTCTTAAATTCCATTTTCATTTCTCCTTTGAGCCGTGGGTTTCTAGAAGTATGTTACATAGTTTCCACATTTGGAGATTTTCCAGAGGTCTTTCTGTTATTGGTTCTAACATAATTCTATTGTGGTCAGAGTACATACTTTGTATGACTAAATTCTTTTAAATTTATTGGAACTTGTTTTGTGGACCAGAATATGGACTGTCTTGGTAAATGTTCCATGTGCACTTGAAAGTGTGTTCAGGTTTTGTTGGGTGGATTGTTCTATAAATGTCAAGTAGGTCAAAATAGTTGACAGTTTTGTTCAAGTCTTCTGTATCCTTACTGATTTCTGTCTTGTTTTATTAATTATTGATAGAGGGATAATGAAATCTGAATGTGATTGTGGATTTGTCTAGTTCTCCTTGAAGTTCTATCAGTTTTTGTTTTATGCATTTGCTTTTTGCACCTGTTGTTAGGTGCATATGTGTTTAGATTGTTTTATCCTATTGATGGATCGCCCCATTTATCATTATGAAATGACTTTATCTCCATTAATATCTTTGTTCTATAGAATCTACTTTGCCTGATATTAATATGCAGCTTTCCCTTGACTAGTGTTAACATGCTATGTATTTTTTCAGTCTTTTACTTTTAACCTATTTGTGTCTTTTTTAAAATATATATTTATTTATTTACTTTTGGCTGTGTTGGGTCTTCGTTGCTGTGCACGGGCTGTCTCTAGCTGCAGTGAGCGGGGGCTGCTCTTTGTTGTGGTTCACGGGCTTCTCATTGTGCTGGCTTCTCTTGTTGTAGAGCACGGGCTCTAGGTGCACGGGCTTCAGTAGTTGTGGCTCACGAGATCTAGAGCGCAGGCTCAATAGTTGTGGCGCACGGGCTTAGTTGCTCCGCAGCATGTGGGATCTTCCCGGACCAGGGCTCGAAGCCGTGTCCCCTGCACAGGCAAGCGGATTCCTAACCACTGCGCCATCAGGGAAGTCCCCTATTTGGTCTTTATGCTAAAGTACATTTCTTTTAGGCAGCATATAGTTGGGTTGCCTCAGTTTAGGGTGTCTGTCAGGCTCCACCTGGGTTTCCCCTTCCTGTGCCATGAACTGAAAACTCTTTAGGCAATAATGGGGCATATTTCATTTGTTTCCCATCTCTCAGGAACAAGCCTTAGACTAGAGGGAGGCAAGTGTGGGCCCTTTGGGAGCAAAATTTAAAAAGCTAGTCACTCTCAGATACACAGCTTCGAGAGTGGAATCCTCTCCTTGCACCTTAAGAAGACGTTCTCAAGAGTGGGAGTACAGGGTTAGGACCTGAGACTCAACGCCTCTTAATCTGATACTTTAGGGGCCTCCCTCCACTCACCCTAGTCCCAGCCCTGCTGGTCACTATCCTTCATTGCCTGATATCCAGTGTCTGGAAAACCATTAAAATAATAATAATAATTATATATATATATATATATATATATATATATATATATAATCTGGATTTTGGGTTATTTCAACTGGGAGGGTAAATCCAGTCCCTGTTGTTCCATCTTTTCTGGAAATAGAAGTCTGGACTTACTCTTTATGAGATGAAAATCCCATATAAAGAGCTTCCTGACTGAAATACCAATGCTTTCAGGCATCCCTGCAAAGAATCTACGAAAGAGCTGTCTTCCTTCATTCAACAGGGAATCAATGAGCACTGACTTTATACCACCTTTGGGCTGATACCTGGGGTTAAAATCAAATAAGAGGAGGTGCCTCTCTCCTAGAGCTCATAGCCGACCTCTTTAGAACTGTGAGATTGCCTCTTTCATGCCATGCATCGCCTGTGACATGGGCCAGGGAAGCTGGGAGCCAGAGAAAGTCAGACCTAGAACGGAGAGATCAGGTTTACTAATTCCCAGGCCCAGAATGGCTTTGGGGCTCTCTTAAGCTCACACGGCTGGTCAGTAGTAGTGGACTGCTATGCACTCTATTTTGAGGGCTATAGAGGAGGAACCCAACCCCAAAGACCTTCCTCCACTGCCGGTCACCATGACTGAAATCCACCATTAGAGGGCGAGGAAATGGGAAAATGTATATAGAGACCACGGTGTGGTGCCTGCCTCCAAGTAAGCACTCCAGAAATGGAAGCTGATCTACCAGCATCTGTGTTCTTGCCGTTGATTTAGATCGGGAGAAATTCTCTGGCCACCTCCTTTCAAGCTGGAAATGTCTGTTTTCCTCTCCCCCTTCTTCTCTGCTCTCTTTGATGGGCTGGCTCATCTGTTAGTGATCAGGGCACATTTCCCCTTGTTCCGAGCTTGTGCTGATGTAGAGAGAAACGGGCACTGGTGAGTGGTCCTCTGCTTCCCTCCCATCCCCTCTCATCCTTTTCCAGCCTTCCTCCACCCCTACCATGCCCACTCCTCTCTCTCATCTTCCACCTTCAGGTTCTGAAACGACTCGAAGAAATTGACAGATCTGGATGGCCACGCCCGACAGGAGAGTGGTCTCCAGACCCCGGGGACCTGGCTGGGGGCACCAGGGGAGCGGGGCCTGCCTGGGCTCCCTGGACGACCTGCCGTGTGAGGGGACCCAGGAGCTGGCACCGGCACAGCTGACCATGCTGAGGAAGGCACAGGAGTTCTTCCAGACCTGTGATGCCGAGGGCAAGGGCTTCATCACCAGGAGGGATATGCAGGTAAGAGGGTCCCGGGTTGCACCTGCCCACCTGGAATGCATGGGTCTCCCTTTCTTGGGCTGGGGCCTGCCCCACGGGAGGTGACGTCTTTATTTTTTTATTTTTTTATAAATTTATTTATTTATTTTTGGCTGTGTTGGGTCTTCGTTTCTGTGTGAGGGCTTTCTCCAGTTGTGGAGAGCAGGGGCCACTCTTCATCGCGTTGCGCGGACCTCTCACTGTCACAGCCTCTCCCGTTGCGGAGCACAGGCTCCAGACGCACAGGCTCAGTAGTTGTGGCTCACGAGCTTAGTTGCTCCGCGGCACGTGGGATCTTCCCAGACTGGGGCTCGAACCCGTGTCCCCTGCATTGGCAGGCGGACTCTCAACCACTGCGCCACCCAGGAAGCCCCGAGGTGACGTCTTTAACAGAAAAGATGCCGTCAACTCTGTCCTGGAAGGAGGCATCGGCCTAAACTCTCCTGGGAGCTAGATCTCCTGGGTTCATGCTTTTTCTGGCCTTCACTTGGTGTCAGGCTCGGGGGCTATTTTCTCTGAGTCAGTAACTCCCCAGAATTGTGGAAAATGGTGGTAGCAATATAAGAAACTTAAGTGAGACACAGAGAAGAACCTTCTGGAACAAAGGTGGAAAGGGACTGACTTGTTACTTTACAACACAGCTCCGAGCTGTGCCCAAGCCACTCCCACGAGGTGCCATGACTCTCAGTCAGCTCTGTCACGGTGTAACTGAACCAAACTTGGATCCGTTCGCCCGTGCACAGTAAAGCCGATCTACTGACCCCAGATTGTGGTGAAAGAAAGGACAGCGTTTATTGCAGGCGCCAAGCAAGGAGTCCGGGACAGCTAGTGCTCCAAACACCCGAACTCCTTCAGACTTCCCTGGCGGTTCAGTGGTTAAGACTTCGCCTTCCAATGCAGGGGGTGCAGGTTTGATCCCTGGTCAGGGAGCTAAGGTCCCACATGCCTCAGGGCCAAGAAACCAAAACATAAGGCAGAAGCGGTATTGTAACAAATTCAATAAAGACTTCAAAAATGGTCCACAGTAAAAAAAAAACACCCGAACTCCTCAATGGTTTTCAGCAAATCATTTTTAAAGGCCAGGTGAGAGAGGGGAGTCCTGGGGTATGGGATCAGCTCGTGCACAGTTCTCTGGTTGGTGGTGGTACCAGGGCGGTGTCACAGGGGTTCACATGATCAATCCTTAGGCTCCAGGAGGCCTGGGGGGATGTGCTCGTGGTCATCGAGTAGTTAACGTCTTCCGTTTGGTGGTGCTTTTAGCATCTGGAAGACAACTCAGGAAATGTGCCTCAGATACTGTTATCCAGGCCCTCCAGAGAGGAGCTACAGCAGAGGGTATGGGGAGGCGTCTGTCCCGCGAAGGCCCCGTAAGGTCCTGCTTGGTTACAGCAGCGCTAGCAGCCACAGGCAGTGTGGAAAGAGCAGAGTGTGACCTGTTCCCAAACAGCTTTACTTACCTACACTGAAGTGTACATTGTATGTCATTTTCATGTGTCACCAAACATTATTCTCCTTTTGATACTGTTTTCAACCATTTAAAACTGGAAAAGCGATTCTTAGCTCTCTGGCTGTACAAAAACAGGCACTGGGTCCCATTTACAGGGCGGGGTGTGGTTTGCCCACCCCTGGTCTGATGCCTTCCCAGTGTCTTCCTTAAGTCTCTCATGCTGCAGTCATGATTTCACCCCGAGAATAAAGGAAGCGCAGGCTGCACTGGAGCTCTGACAGCCTCTCCCCACACCGCCCTCCCATCACTCGTACGTCAGGGGCATTTTGGGGAGGGACACACAGCTGCACAAAGGGGGGGAAGACTCGCGATGGGCAGGTTTTCTTTTCTTCTTTTTTTTTTTGCGGTACGCAGGCCTCTCACTGCTGTGGCCTCTCCCGTTGCGGAGCACAGGCTCCGGACGCGCAGGCTCAGCGGCCATGGCTCACGGGCCCAGCCGCTCCGCGGCATGTGGGATCTTCCCGGACCGGGCCACAAACCGGCGTCCCCTGCATCGGCAGGCGGACTCTCAACCACTGCGCCACCAGGGAAGCCCAGGTTTCCTTGAGGCTGGTTTTTCATAGTACGCTGAAGTTGGGCCATGAAATGCAGACCCTCGTTCGTATCCGTCCCTCCTCCACTCGCTGTGTGAGCCTCGTGGCCCGGAGGCTTGTGACCTGGATGGAGCACCGCAGGCCTTTCTCCCACCAGCCCCACAGGGTGGAATATTCTGGCTTTTCCCAGACTCTCCCCCGTCCAGTAGGTGCTTCAGGATTTGAGGGGAAAGACCTGGGAACAGTGGTACCTTAGCCCACAAGAGAGCCTGGGCCTCTCTGGTTTTCAGCAATTGACACCTGGTAAATTTCTGCCACTGATACTCATCCCCAAAGCCTCACCCCACCTGGAAGTCCAGCCGAGGTGTGTTTTGAGAAAACCTTGACAACCCCAGCCTGGGAATTCATAGTTGTCCTTCACAGGCCTGTGGCCATGTGGTTGTAGGAGTGGTTTTCATGGCATGTTTCGTTTGTGCTTCTCCTTCTAGAAAGAAAGAAAAGGGAATTCTCTTTTATTGAGGGTCAACCGTGGGTCATATGCACAGTGCAACTCAGCACTCTCACTGAATATACCCCCATTAACCTGCACCGAAGCCCTCTCTTTAATGAAGGCCGGGAGAGGCACGGTGAGTTTAAACTGTAAAGTATCAATTGTTGAAGAAATCATTTGCATTGGGCTCGGCATGAAGTCAGAAGCACCAGATCCCAGAGACGCCACAGCAGCCTTGCTCCCTCCGGCCTCACCCCTGGTCCAGACAGCAGGAGGAGGGCGGGGCCTCCCACCAGCTAGTCTGCTGGGTCCGTGGCATTCAGCTCTGCCGGCTGCAGTTTCCTGAACTTTCTGCGTGCCTGTGGATGGCGAAGCATTTGAAAAGTTCAGCTCTTCTAGCTGAGAGAATGATATCACGAGAGAACAAAACGCGTCATCGAAGGGCCACCTCTCTGCCGCTTTCATGGTCACATCTGGAGGAGGATGGGCTGGAAGGAGATTTGGGAAGAAAGTCACCCTCTTGTTGTCCACCCTGGGTTCCCTGTGAGGTCCACGCGCCCTTGGTTCTCCTGGCAGGACTGAGGACATCTGCCTGCTGCTGTCACCCCTGCACGTACCGCGGCAGCCGGTGGCTGGCCCCTGGGTGCTGGTCACCACCCCCTTTCTCACCCTCGGCTCCCAGCACGGCCTCTCGGGACCTGGAGAAGAGCTCACAGCATGCTCGCACACCCAGATCCAGACGCCGGGAAAGGCCTGTTAGGGCGGAGAGTGGCTGGGTCGGGGTGGGGAGCCTGGGCAGGAGGGGCCGGCGGGCGAGGGGAGCTGGCACAAAACCGCACACAGTTGCCATCCTTTGAGGGAGGGGGAGGGGCAAGGCTGCTCCCCTCGTGCCCCCATTCTCCTTTCTCCTGAGTAACGGAAGAACTCCACCTGCAGGGGCTGAGACAGGCTCCCAGCCATCCGAGAGGTGGGGAAACCCAGGCATCTGAGAGGTGATCGGAGAGCAGCAGCCGTGAGCAAACAGACACCCTGACAGAGCAGGGCCACAGACGGAAAGGAGCAGGTCCCCCGGCCGAGGCCAGGATGCAAGCCGCCCGGAGCTCGGGTTGCGCACGAGCAGGTCCTGCTACGGGAGGTTGGATGGATGATACTGACCTGTGAGCGCAGAGTTTAGGCAGGAGTTGGAGGGTCTTCAGCTCCACCTGTGGCCCCCCAGACCTCACTCCCTCCTCCACAATAAACCCCTCTGTGTGTCCCATGGAGATCATTCCAGGCAGAACTGGGGTGAAGATTGCTTTGCAGGGAGGGATCCCCTAGAGAACCACAGTCGTGAGCCGGAGGGTCCCTAGTGAGAGGCAGAGGGACACGGGAGGACCAGGCTGGAGAGGGCATGAAGGGACCCCTCCAGTTGGGAGAGGGAGATGGGGACAGGTCGGGCAGGAGATCTCTGAAGACACCAGCAGCCCCCTAAACCCTGTTCCTGACTTCTTAGAGGCGTGTAATGGTTATTACCACCGCCAAGTACCCACCCTGCAACACTGCCTGGAATTCCTGGATTAGCCAAACTGTGAAGAACCATCTAGGAGCTGGCCAGCCAGCCGAACCTGGCTCACTCGCTGTTTCTGTGAGTGCCGTGTAATTGGAACACAGCCGGGCTCTTTCCTTCTCATACCATCCACGGCGGATTCCAAGTTACAACACGGACTTGGGAAGCTGTGACGAAGGCCTGCAAAGCCTCAAATACGCATGATCTGGCCTTTACAGGGGCTGCCAGTTGACGCCTGATTTAGGTTAACAAAGAGACTCTTAAAGAATTTTGTGGTACATTGCCCTGAGTTTTAATCCTGAATCTGCCACTTACCAGCAGTGTGAATTTGTGTAAGTCTCTTAAGCCCTCTAAGCTGTAGCCCCTCATCTGTGAATTATTTATAACTAACTCCCAGCGTTAGAAGAGAATCAGGCGCGTGTGTACATGCAGAGCACTTAGCCCCGAGCTGGGACCTGAAAATCTCTCCATAAATGCTCACTCTGTGTGTGTGTGTGTGCCATTGGGGGTGGGGGGACTTATACCCCGAGTCTTAACACAATTCCTAGTGTCCTCCACTCTGTGATGTTTCCTAATTGTGGTAAAATACACGTGACAGAATTCCCCATCTGCACCATTTTTAAGTGAATATTTCAGTGCTTTTCAATACATTCACATTGTTGTGTAACCCTCACCAGAACTCTCCTTATTTTGCAGAAGAGAAACTCTGTCCCCATTAAACACTACCCATCTCCCAGGACCACCATCCTACTTTCTGTCTCTATGGATATGGCTCCTCTGGGGACCTCGTATAAGTAGAATCATACAGTATCCGTCCTTTGGTGACTGCCTTATTTCACTTAGCAAAATGTCTTCAAGATTCCACATGGTGGCACATGTCAGAATTTCCTCTCTTTTTAGGGCTGGATAAGATTCCATTTTATCTATTTACCACATTTTGTTTATTCATTTGGCCGTCGATGGGCACTTGGGTTGCTTCACACCCTTGGGTGTGAATCACGTTGCTGTGGAGAGGGACGTACAAATGCTCTTGGAGTCCCTGCTTTCAGTTCTTTGGGATATATACCCCAAAGTGGGATTGCTGGATCATATGGCAATTCTATTTTTAATATTTTGAGGGATCCCACACTGTTTCCGCAGCGGCTGCACTGTCGTACTGGGAGGTCAAGTGCAAGCCATCTGTCTGCCTCAGAGATCAAGAAGGGGCATTTCTGCTGGAGAGGGTCCCTTCAGTTCATCTCTAGTTGGTGCTGCTCTTGTTTGTATCCATTCTATGTGAGCGAGGGCAGTTTGGCTTCTTAGAGGACATTTGGCCATGTCTAGGGACATTCTTGATTGGAATGACTGGAGAGGGAGATGCTACGGGCATCTACTAAGTGATGTCCAGAGATGCTGCTAAATGTCCCGTAAAGCACGGGACAGCTCCTCCCCCACCTCCCTCTCCAACAAAGAATTCATCCGGAGATGTCAATAGCACGGAGGTTGAGACTCCCGTCTGCACCCAGCCGTCAGCCTGAACCAAGCACATCAAGGCACCAGGCAGAATCAAGGTAGATCCCGCCTCTGGACCTCACAGTCCCATCCTGAAGATAGATGTCTGGTGCTTCTGGGCTCTACCGCAGGGAAGAGAGTGGCTGGTGCTGGGAGAAGGGTCTGAAGAGGAGGCTTTGGGAGCCTGGAAAGAGGGAGAGATTAATCTGGCCGTAAAGGTGGATCTCCTGGTTTTCTCTTTAATGAGCATTTCCCTTAGATGCATTTGAAGCTGTGCAACCCTTGGCTTTAAGCTGCACGAGGCATGTTGCGGGCTGGTGACCAGGAAGGTAGAGGGTCCGGCTGGGCTGTAGCGGGAGACAGCGTTTTCCCCTGGCTCTGGGAGCCTGCGCCCTCAGCATGGCTCCTGCAGGACTGTTTCCTGTTCCATGCCCCAGTTTATAAGACCTCACCGAGCATCCCTGGGTGGGGGACGGGGGCTGGTCAGGATCTAGAGTGGATGGGGTCTAGACCAGTCCTCCGTGGACAGGAGCTCAGGACCGCCTGCTATCACTCGTAGTCACTCGTTTATTGATTCACTTGTTCATCAAGTATCTAAATACCGCCTGGTTGTCAGCATTGGGCTAGATCCTGGGGCCATGACAGTGAACAAAAGTGAACGGGGTCCCTCTTCCCAGAGCTTCCAGGCCACTGAAGGAGCAGACATTCATCCACTAATCGCATCCATCAGTATGTAAAGTACAAAGTGAGGTGAGACTTATGAATGAAAGAAATGCGTTTGGGGGCGTCTGGATCGCTGGTCTAAGCCGGGGGCTGCCGAGGCTTCCTGAGGAAGTGATGCAGGAATTCAGAGTTCAGAGGAAGCAGGGATTTAGAGTGAACTGGAAGGCGGTGGAGGGAGGCCACAGATGGAGGGAGTGTGGAATCGTAAAGAGCCACTGGTTGGGCCATGGACAGAGTGAGGAGGGCAAGCCTGCCTTCTCCCCGACTCCCTCCCCCGCCACCTGCTCTTCCAGGTGGGAGTGGGAGACAGGATCCACCCGTGAAGCGGGATTCTGGAAGGCTGGCACGGGTGGTGCTGGCCGGGCAGACTTTTGGTGGCAGGGGTGGGATAGCAATGAGAGAAAGGAATTAAGGATGCATGGATGCACGGAGAACCCTTAGCTGACAGCGGAAGCCCTGAAGGGGAAATTGCTTCTTTATCCCAGCCTGGCCTCCACTGTGACTTTAGGGAAATCTCAGAGCTTCGCGGGTTATCAGCACCATGGAATGAGTCATCGCGTCCCTCTCCACCTGGCTTGGCTCCTTTAGTTAAAAATGTAGACAGCACTAGGTACCCAGGGGACACGAGCAGAATAAGTTGGTTTTACATGGCTCTGCAGGCCCAGAGAAGAAAGATAAATAAGAGGTAATTATGGTTATTAAGACTAAAGGATTTTCCGGGTAGGGCCAATAAAGAGAGGTTGAGGCATCAGGCATGTGCAGTTTGCAGAGAAGGCTGGAGAAGCCCTCGGTACTACTTTGGCAGGACGTGAAGAGGGAGGATGACTTGGAGAATGTCATACTGCCCTCCCCAGCTTCAGTGACAGCAAGAGGAGGAAGCTGGTTTGAGACAGAGACAAGGAATGGGATTAGAGCATGGGAAGGACTTGGGGTCAGAAGTGTTGTTGGATTCAGGGATGGCGCCTGAGGCGGGGTGTGACCTAGCTTTTCCTGGGTGATGCTAACAAGAGTACGGGTGCCCACGTGTGGGTATTTTGGGCAAGAGGCAAGTTGAGGGTCCCACTGACTCTGCAATTCCTTTCAGCCCCTTTCTGGGTCCAGCACAGTGTGAGAGACCACATTTTAGAGATCACATTCAGGCAGAGGGTAGGGAGGGGGGCAGGATTATCCCAAGGAAAGGACTGGAATCTTGGGTTTTCACTCTGCCTCCAACGTGATGCCTTTAGCTTCAAATGGAGCTAATGAACTTCCTGCTTGCGAACTGGACTCCATCCTCGCCCTGCATTCTCTGCCTTTGGCTTTGACACAGCTGGTTTATGGATTGTTGACAAGACAGAGATTCTGCTGTTTGCTCAGCAGATGCGCTTCTGGAATCCTTGCACACACTCTCACCTTCCTTTCTACAAACCTCATTCCTATGTAATTCAGTGATTCTAAAGGGCTCCCACATCATCCTGTCTCCCCACGTTGTAACGCATCATCGCCCCTCTTAATGCGAGTACCTGCCAAATTAATCCTTATGGCTTATCAGCTAGAAGGGTGCCTGAGGGTCCAACCGAGTGTCTCGCAAGTTACGTTATGGGCTTTCACACCTGCCAGCTCTTTTTGACTGTTCAGATGGGCGTGTACCTTCCTTCCTGTGGCCCCGTGGTCCTTGTCTTCAGCTGTCAGTCACTTCCACAGCGGCAATTTTGTGCAGTCGTCCCTCGGGGAGCTGGGAGGATGGGGGAGGGTCAGCTGGGCTGTAATGAACTCCCTTGGGGAGTCTTCATTGGGAGGTTTTGATTATTAGGGTAGAAGAGGGTACTTGCTTCAACGATGCAAATTAACGTTGGCCTGGGGCCACCGGTGCATCAGGCAGAGGCCAGAGGGAAGCATCCACAGCTCAGCCACTTTGCTCCTCAGCCATCAGTGTCTGCCTTTCTCTCCCCGCGTGGTCTGGGGCAGCCCAGGTCCAGTGACCTCACACCCCATCTTGGCCAGCTCCCTTTTACAACACAAATACTCTTTTTTTTTTTAAGTTTTTTTTTTTTTTTTTTGATGTGGACCTTTTTAAAGTCTTTATTGAATTTGTTACAATATTGCTTCTCTTTTATGTTTTGGTTTTTTTGGCCGCGAGGCATGTGGGATCTTAGCCCCCCAACCAGGGATCGAACCCGCACCCCCTGCATTGGAAGGTGAAGTCTCAACCACTGAACCGCCCGGGAAGTCCAACACAAATACTCTCATCCATACCTTAAGGCAGTGGCAGTTCATGTCTTTTCAGGAAGTAGTTGAGAGCCAGCAGGGAGTAGGAGTGGGGGGCCGGCTGGTACGATGGGTGCGTGTCACCCAGTGGCCTTGTCCAGCTCCCCTTCAGAGCTAGAGGACCATAGTGTGTGTCCACAGAAACTGCAGCCCTGGGACATGAGTGGCCTCCATCAGGGAAGGCTTCTGAGAGTGCGACCCACACCTGCATGGCAACAGGGGGACAGAGGGAGGGGCTTGGGCAGAGCAGGTGAAACCAGAGTGAAACCTGATTGTGCCATTCACTCACTGAGTGACCTTGGTGGGTCAGTGGCCCTGGTGGGGACCTTCTGCTCCCCCCTTTCTTTCTCTACCTCCCTCATACGTTTTACTGAATGCCTTCTCTGTGCCGGGTACTGTGCAATATTCTTTACATTCATTATCCCGTTGACCTGGACCGCATCGTGTCGTGCAGGTATTATCCTAAACGGGATTCAGTCCCATGCAGTTCTGGTCCTTTACGGCTGTGAACAGTGCCAGTTTTGAAGTCAGACCTGGATTTGATCCCGGCCATGTCACTTACGGGCATGGACAGGTCATTTAACATCACGCTTCATCTGTAAAAGGGGGATACTAATGCCCACTTCAAAGAATTGTCGTGAGAATTAAATGCAAACATATATGTAATAAATTATTTATAAATATAGTAATAAATGTACACATATTTACTTATAAATCATCCCGCAAGTTGCCTACCACATGAGTAGGCAACCAAGAGATGGTGGATGTCCTGATATTCAGAGGAGGAGAAGGGTGGTGAGGCTTCAGAATCTGGCCTCTGGCTTTTGTCGGCGGGGCGGAAGGCGCTGCCCCCCTCGGCAGCCGTCCGTGATGAGCAGTGTCAACCAGCGCGGTCTGGATTGTTTTCAGAGGCTGCATGAGGAGCTGCCCCTCAGCCTGGAGGACCTGGAGGACGTGTTTGATGCCCTGGATGCTGACGGCAATGGCTTTCTGACCCCAGTGGAGTTCACCACTGGATTTAGTAAGTTCTGGGGGACTTATATGGGGCATATAAGGGGCATCCCTGCCCCACCAGCTCTGAGGGTCCATGAAGCACAAGCTTTCTTGCCTCCTGAAGTCTCCGGGCTGTGGGGCATTTGGTCCCTTTTCGTGTGTCCACCCCCGCCGCTCACACCACTGCTGCCTCAGTGCCCGCCACGCTGTCCCTGCCAGGTCCTCTCCTACTGGAGAGTGGCAAGGAGCGAGCAGAGAAGCTCTGGCAGGAGATCAGCTTAAGAGAGGGGCTGAGATGGGATTTCCAGCCTGTCCGCTTCTGCTGACATACCAGTGGACAAGAGTGGGAGGCTTGTGCGGCTCGTTTCAACCTGAGTGTGGCTGAGTCCTCCAGGCTGAGGGGCAACAGATTTCAGAGGAATCTGTAAAGGGTTGGAATAGACCAGTCGTTCTCAAGGTGACCAGGAGGGAAAACAACTGAGATGCGTGAACAAGATAAAAAAAAAAGAAAAACAGATCCACCGTCAGATCCAATACTGACCACATATTGATTACAACGAGCACGGGTCAGATAAATCTCCGCACACCTGCCTCCTTCAAGGTGCCAGGTATCTGCCTGGAAACGTCTGATGCCTTTCCTGACCTTCAGGAATTTATAATTGAATTCATACAATTGAATTCATTTACATTCACGTAAATGTGAAGCACAGTGATGCTGGCGGCCAGGATCACAAGGTGATAACACAGACATAGGCAGGCAGGCTGCTCGAGTGCGATAGCGGAAAGGTCTTGTTTAGAGGAGAAATCAATGAAGAGATGATTCTAAGCCGGCCTTTCAAAGATTAAGAACCACAAAGGTGCCGTAGTACCCGCCATGCGCTCTGCCTTTCTAGCATCTCTGGCAGAATCTCATCCAAGTAGGAGAGACATGAAATCCGGAGCATGGCGTCCAAGGATCTTGGCTACAGGGAGTCTGGCCTCCCCTTTTCTCCTCTCAGCTGAACCTCAATCGATTCCTGGCAGCTGAGGAAACAAAGGTCTTCCTGGGCGAGTGTTGCCTAATCCAGATCTTGTGCCCATGCCTCCCCCAGGTCACTTCTTCTTCAGCCAGAAGCCGAGTGAGGAACATGCTGCTGAGCACCTGGCCCAGCTCCAGGAAGAGAAGGTGTATCAGACCAGAGGGTGTGAGGGTCTGGGTGACATGGACGAAGATGAGGAAGGCCAGTTCCAGATGCTGATGGACAGGCTTGGAGCCCAAAAGGTTTGGGAAGAGTAAGTGGCGACTGTGGTCTGGGGGATGGAGCCCAGCCTAGCGGCAGCCTCCCCATCTGTTCTGTCCAACCTTAACGCCTACTAAGCCCTCAGCCAAGCCCTGGCCCCATGCAGCCTGCCCTTGGCCATGACCTGTCTGCGTCAGGGTCTAGGGCTCTGCCTCTGCTTTTTACATTATTTTCACTGGAAACGCTCCTATCCCCTGATCTCCCACACTCCTTCCTCACCCCCTGCTGTCCACAATCAGTACAGTCCTTGGCTTAGCCTTGCTCTCTGAGGGCTGCCCGCCCATCAGAGGGCTGTGCAAGGGTTGAAACCCTTGAGGGTTTCGGTGCGTCCCGCCTAAGGCTTCCTGTCACCATCAGCTCACCAGCATCTCCACCTCCGCTGGGTCTCTGGGGCCGCAGTGCGTCCCACGTGCTGTGCTCCTGCCAAAGCCACTTTACACGGAAGCGTCTGTGCGTCAGATCCCTGAGCCGAACCAACCCTGTTCTGGAAGCCGAGGTGGGAGGTGAACCTGTTTTTTACCAGCTCATCACTTGGGTGATCAGTGACTCAGCTGAAAATTTTAGGTGGCTGCCACTTCAAACCAAACGTAATACCCCCATTTTTTTTTTCTTTTTTGCAAAAAGTGTTTTGTAAGAAAGAGACACATAGATGTAAACCCAGACCTTTGCCATTAATTGAAATGAAGTCAAGTGATGTTGTAGCTAGTGGAAACCAGAGAGTCGCCCGAAAAACATGGACTAACTTCCGCCCCTTGCCTTTTTGTGTTGGGGTCTCCAGGTCTTGGGTTGGGTGTGTGTTTCATGAGTGAGGGGGGAATGGCCTGATGGTTGGAGCTGATGTGTCTGGAGCTTGGGAAGAAGAAGACTGTGGAGGAGAATGATAAAGGGGAAGCAAGAGAGAGGGGCCTTCACACAGCATGCAGGCCAAGAAAGTATGGGTAGCTCCCAGCGTCTTTTAGGTTGTGACAGAGTTGAGACAGGCTGGCAGAAGCCTGGGCAAGCCAGAGGGGACACTAGCTCCACTGCTCCAAGGACAAGGGACCAGATCCCAGTGACCATGCCCACGACCCCGTGAAGGCTCGTCCTGGAGGAGGGGACAGGAGAGGGCAGTGTGGGCAAGCCAAGGGACTGTCATGAAAGACAGGCATCTCTCTGCCCACCCATCACTTTTTGACTGCCACCCTCCTGCAGGGCTCTCAAATCAGAGTTCACCAGAGGTTTCTCTGAGGACGTCAGACAAAGGCCCGCGCAGGGCCGAGCCAACACGAGAGCTCCTGGAGAAGAGAAGGCTCTGGGGAAGGTTCCAAGAGTGGTCGATAAAAACCCACACACAGGAGATGGTGCCCGGCCACTGTCATCCTCCTTGAAGTTAAACAAGAAGGAAGTGGGCTTTTGCTGCAGCGTGAGGGAAAACGGTCCAGACTGTAGGACCCCAGATGAGGAAACAGAGGAGGCTGGAAAACTTCAGAGGTCTTTAAAGATCTCAGCGACCAAGATGGTTTGCGTACTGTTCTGGAAGCGGGGAGATGGATGGACTGACCACCCGGAACCCTTTCTCACCCTGCACCCCTGTATCCTTCCAAGAGAGTGACCTTGGCTTTGTCCAGAAGTGGTAGACAGAGCACCTGGGCTCCCGGCTTTTCTCGGTGCTTCGACTGGCTGAGTGATTTGGCAGCTAATCGGCCTTGGCTTAATTTTCATCCAGCATCGAGAGACTTATCCCTTCTCCAGAAATCTGGCGGGAGGTGATGTGGCCACGACTAGGAGGTTCAGGTAGCTTTGGAAGAGCGTCAGGTAGGTCTGCAAATCTCACTGGAGGCTCTCACCCTAATGGTTCTCTGCCAGGCTGCAGCAGGAACCCAGGGGATGGGAGCAGACAGACCTCGGCCAGCAAGGTGCGTCTTGATTTTATAATGCATTTACCTTATGAGGGGCAACCTGCCACAGTGATGGGAAGTCATCGTGGTATCTCCCAGAGACCCTTTATCTCGGAACCCTTTGTGCAATCCCCATTGTATCTACAGTCCAGTAGAGCGACAGCCACAGCATGTTCTGTATGGGGGAAAATGGAAATTATTCTGGGAAACAGGAGGCTCCTTACCTCCCCTTCTCTCGTTTTCTAGATCTCTCATGTCATCCAGATCAGTGCTAGGTTTTCAACAAATAATAAATACTTGTTGGGTGGGTGGATGGGAGGATGGATGGATGGATGGATGGATGGATAGATGGATGGATGGATGGTTGGTTGGATGGATGGGAGGGTGGATGGGTGGGTGGGTGGATGGTTGGATGGATGGGAGGATGGGTGGGTGGGTGGGTGGGTGGATGGATGGATGGGAGGATGGATGGGTGGGTGGGTGGGTGGATGGATGGATGGTTGGATGGATGGGAGGATGGATGGTGGATGGATGGATGGTTGGATGGATGGGAGGATGGATGGGTGGGTGGATGGATGGATGGTTGGATGGCTGGGAGGATGGATGGGTGGGTGGGTGGGTGGATGAATGGATGGACGGATGGGAGGATGGATGGTTGGATGGATGGGAGGGTGGATGGGTGGGTGGATGGTGGATGGATGGATGGTTGGATGGATGGGAGGGTGGATGGGTGGGTGGGTGGGTGGATGGATGGATGGGAGGATAGATGGACGGATGGATGGATGGATGGATGGATGGATGGATGGTCTAGATGAGTTGGTGGATGTTTGGGTGGAATGGAGCAAGGGAAGGAAAGAGGGAAGGAGGATGATTGGATAGATGGTCAGGTAACTGACCAGAAGCAGGCTCATTTCTCGGTGGGCCTCTTCTCTGCTGGGTGCAGACAGTAACACTTACGTCCAGGCACATTACTAACATGGCACTATCAAGTATCACTTTTGAGTGAAATTTCTCAGATATAGTGCTTGTTACACAGCACAAGGGATTTTATTCTTTATCCTGAGGGTCCCTAGTTGTAGCTGCCTTCAGATCACAGTGGTTTTAGAATTTAATGAGTGAGATCAGATCCCCCTCTGGCTGTCTGTCTGATCACTGGCTGTAGACTGTTGAGTTTCTCCAGAGGCAGAGCAGGTCCATGGGTGTGCCGCCTCCCGCCCCCACCCCCATCACCGTGACCTTGGCCCATGTGTCTCCTCTGCTGAGCACCAGCGTGCCTGTTGGGGAGGGAGCGGTTCTAGGCACGCCACTCTGTGTCTGTGCCTCTCTGCCAGGCTCCGTCCTCCCGACTCTCCACCCGTCTCTCCGTGTGTGCACACACATCTCTCAGGCTTGCTCGCTCCTTCCCTTGCTTTCTCCTGTCCGTCACGCCCGCTGCCTCCCGGCCCCAGTGGGCTGCTGCATCTTCCCTTCCACTCCCTGCGGTGACAACTGCTTCCTGCCATCCGTCAGATGCCACGTCCTTCGCTCTCAGCTGTGAGGCCCATCCCTCCTGGGGCGACAGGCTCGCTGCTTCAGCTCCACGGCGCTTGTCCTCACACGCGCTGGGCTCCTGTCCTCCCGCTGCCTCCTGGCATTTGGAGATGCTCCTGGCCCGCGGCTCTGTGTGCTCAGCACCACCAGCTCATCGCGGGAGACAGAAAGCAAAGCTGTTGAGTGTGGCCATTAGGAGGCCAGCATGACTCCTGGCTCCATCACTTCCCAGCGGAGTGATCTGAGACCGCTCACCTCACGCTGAGACCGCTCACGTAAACGGGGGTGTTAGCAGCACCTGCCTCACTGGAAGGTCAAATGAGCAAACGTGCATAAAGCAGCCAGCATGCGGCAAGCGCTCAATAAATGTCAGCCACTGCTGTCGCTGTACTGACAATGATAATGATGTTCTAGCCATCGGTGTCACACCTGGGACCTCCGTGTGTCCCATGAAGCCTCATGTCCACGCTCCCACCCTAATGCTCCTTTTTCTCTCACAGTGAAAATGATGTCAAGAAACTCTGGCTGCAGCTGAAGAAGGACGAGCCTCACTTACTGTCCAACTTTGAGGATTTCCTGACCAGAATCTTCTCGCAGCTCCTAGAAGCCCACGAGGAGAAGAATGAGCTGGAGTGCGCCCTGAAAAAGTGGGTACCAGTCTCAGCCGCCCTCTGTACAGACACGTGCAAAGCAGACACACCTCTTCTGTCTTATATTCGGTGACGCCACCTTATGACCATCCTCCAGAGCGGGGGCCGGGCCTGTGGCTGTCCCCGGGTATCTATTTCTAAGACCTCACTCACATTTATTAGGCCCTCACCATGTGCTAGGCGCGATCCTAAATTCCTACACAACCCATTGGGATATTTATCATTATCCACAATTTACCAATGGGAAAGTCGAGGCACTGAAAGGGTAAGGAACACGCCCCCAGAACACACAGTGTGTAAGCGGCAGAGCCAGGACTCAGAGCAAGATGGTCTGGTGTCCGAGACCCATTAGAAACCACTGTGTCTGCCTTGGGGCGGTAAGGCCCCAGCCTACAGGACCTACCCCCATCTCTGGACCAGCCCCCGGCCCTCCTGCCGTCTCACTCCCGTCATGGTCTTAAGTTTCTCCTGCTGCCCTCCTGGCCCCGGGCTCTCTCCAGATATTCAGTGCTTTCTAGAACTCCTCCTGTACTGGAGGACGCCGCCCCAGGCAACGTGCTTGGGACCTGAAGAAGCTGCTTGGGAGCCAAGCCCGAGTTGGCCAGGCCCCGGGCGCCGCAGGTGCGGGCCTGCCAGGTGGGTGTCCCTTGGCCTGCGGGGACGAGTGTACCAGCAGGGCGCTGTGCTTGTCCACACTCATCAACGAACGTTACAGCGAGGAGCTCGATGTTGTGACCCACAGCGTGCGGACCGCTGTCCACGCACCACCCTGAGCTCCCTTTCATCTCGTGCCTCCCCCCATCAACTCTAAAGTAACTTGCTGAGACCCACTGGCTATACACAGGTCTGGAAGAGGACCTTTCGGACCCTGAATTATGAGCAATCGTGGCCGTGTGGTGCTGGAGGGAACACGGTCGGGCTAGAGGAGTGTTCAGAGCATTTTGGGGTGAGGCTCCCAGGGCTGGGAGAGAGAGGGGTTGAGGGTATACGCTATAGAGCCTTTAGCTGAATAAGCTGTGAGTCAGAGCTGAGTCCGAATCTTGGTTCTGCTGCTTACTAGCTGTGTGACTTAGGCCAAGTTACTTAACCTCTCTGAGTTGCAGCTTCCTTATGTGTAAGATAGGGACAGTAATACCCGTGTCATAGACCTGTGAGGATTACATGTCAGCATTTAGAACAGTGTGGGCACTTAGTAAGTATTCGATGAATGTTAAAATAATAACATTTATTACTATTTTAAATAAGTACGTCTGTGAGTCTTGGAGGATTTGCCTGGCTGAAGTGGAGAGCTGGAGGTGAAGTATAAGGATCGCTTTATCCTTCCAGACAACACAGTGTAGAGCTTTGCTGTCGAAGCCTAGTCTATGGAATCACCTGGAAGCTTCTCGGGAATGCAGAGCCTCAGGCCTCGCCCCAGGCCTACCGACTCTGCGTTTTAACAAGATGTCCAGGTGCCTCTTGCATGGATGCGAGAAGCAGGCCCAGGGAATCAGGAGCTCTGGGTCAGAGTTGTGTGTGGCCCTCCAACCAGCTAGCTCTGTGACCTTGCTCTGGTCTCTTGGCCTCTCTGAGCCTCGATTTTCTCACGTGTAAAATGAGGCTTATTTTCTGCCCCTCACCACCGCCCCCTCTGAGTCCAGCACTGCTCACCCCAAGGAGCCACAGTGAAAGTCAGGGGCACCCCCAGAGGGGACGGCTCCCTTGTTTCCTAAGGAGACGAGGGCCGGAATGGCTGCAGTGACCCAGCTCGGGGCCCAGAATCTTACCTGCAGGGGGCCCCTCTGCTGGCCTGCACCTCTGCAGGGAGAGACTTACTGCAGAGCCTCTTGGGCCGTACATCCATCTCTAAGTGGCCTCCATTCGTGTTTTGGTTCCAATTCAACGATGGTTAAAAAGGTCTTGAGCTGAAAGTCAAGGTCACTGTCAGCTGCATGGTCGAAACTAGCTCAGCCAGGAGTTGCAGTCTTCTGTGCCCATCCTCCGTTCATATGCCTGCCAGCTACCCCTGCCCCAGGTCAGCTGATGGAGTCCACTCCGGCCGGGGGACTCGGGTGGGCTCGGGGCTCACTGAGCTCTCTGGCAGTCCTTTTCCTAGAGACCTGTAGCGAGCAGAGCACTGCAACAGGAGACAGGAGCAACCTGAGGTCCTGCCCAGGCACCGCCACTGACCAGCTGTGTGACCTCAGGCAATGTGCTTTACCTCTCTGTGCATCTGTTTCCTTACCGGCAACATTCGAGAACGGGATTGGTGTTGTTCAAATTTTCTGATTGTGACTGGCCGGGAGACACGCGCTTGACTTTGCAGCTCCCACACACTTGTGTGTGTGAATAACTGAGGCAAAAGTTTCATGAAACGTGTTCACCCTCGTGACATGTGACGGACTCTGAGGTTTTCTCTTAGAGTCTCTTGTGTTCTCTTCTCTTCTGTTAAAGAAAGAAAAAGGTTGTTCACATCTTGTTTCCAGGTTCCTCCTGGACCAGGGGATCCCTGAAGGTCCTTGCAGCATAGAAGTCAAAGAAAAAACTGAAACCCCAATGGGATACAGAATAGTTAGATGGGAGGTTTTACAGATGGTTCAGCATGAGGCTGAGTGATTCTGGGACATCTAGGAGGCGAGTTTGGGGGTTTGGGCTTGTTTGCAGGAGGGGCACCCTCTGGCTGGTGAAGGGAGAGAAGGGAAGGTCTGGGGCATCGTTTGACTCGGGCAGCAGTCTGGGGAACCCTGACTGTCAAAGCATCTCCCAGTCTCCGCCACGAGCCGGTTGTTCAGTCCAGGGGCTAACACGTCACTCCATCTGGGAAATGAGCGCTCGTCCCAGAGAGGGCGACGAGACTTGCCTGCTGTGCGCAGCCGAGGGCTGGGCACCGGGCTACAGTCACGTGTGACCAGTAGCTGCCATGTAACGGGCACTTACTCTGTGCCAGGCTGAGCTGAGCCAACGGAGCACAGAGTCCCCGTCTTTGAGGAGTTTACGATCACACCAGTGAGGCAGAGCCGTAAAAATTCTGCCGCACAGCCGACCAGGAAGTCCCCGTGCTGTTGAAACACCTGACAGCGTGGCCATTGGCAGCAGTGGCCCCAGCTGCCTCCCCCTTTTCCGAACCACACACCTCATTTCTCTGTCCCACGGGGCCCAGAGACTTGCGACCGACGTGGGGGGAGTCCTGGTCCCAGGTCCCCAGCCAAGCCGTGTCCCTCAGGGTTACAGTTTCACTGCAGTGAGTGAGAAAGGCCCCCCTGCGGCATCCTCCAGGGTCACCTCCAGCCTCTAGGAGGGAGGATGCAGCGGGGGCAGTGCTTGGGCTTGACATCTTGAAGCTGATGTCCGGAGGCCCAGGCTCTAGGGCAGTGTCAGAAGCAACTCCAGGCCTTTCCTCCCGGCCGTGTATTTTATTTTCTGACCCTGCATGTCGGGAGCAGAGGAAAGAGGCAAGCCTGGGGGCCTTCAACCTCCCACCCTCTTGCCTTTGGGACAGAAGTTGAGAAAACCTCAGATCTGAGTTAGACTCTGGGTTCAGTGTTTGACACTGGCGCGTGTCCACTGAGAAGCAGCCACGGCCCGGCGGGGTGAGGTGGGGGCCAGGTGGAATGCAGGGCCCTGGGCTGGTGCCCAGCTCGTCTGCGGCACCTCCAGAGTGGACTGCATTCCCTCCACTTCCCTCGGAGGAGGAGAGGGTCAGATTGCAACCGAGCCGCTTTTCTCTGTGTGCACCACGCAGAGGCTTGGCGAACCTTACATTTTACCGTGGGAGACGTGGTTTGACGTGAGGAGGAACTTCTGGCCGTCAGAGCTACGAATTCCTTTGCCACTGAAAGCACCCTGCCCAATTATGTTGACCTGGAAAAAAAAAACTTGAGCTCTCCAGATGTAGAACGATGCTGCCTGGAGGCAGCAGGAACTTCAGACCTTTCACCAGTAGGGGATGCTGGGGACCTACTCCAGGAGGGCCCCGTTGCCTTGGTCTGGGGTGAGGGCTCCAAGTCTGCGCGTATAAAATATCCCAAGGGATTCTGACTTTGGACCCGAGTTGGAATCTGCCAGAGGAGTTGCCCTGGTTGAGTTCCTTACCAAGATCTAACGCGGAGGATGGGGGTAAGAATGGATTAGGCTGTGTCTGGGGAGTGCTTTGAGCTCTTTGAAGAAAAGTGCTTTCGAGATCAAAGGCAGCGCTCTCAGTCTTCTGCAGCTCAGTAGCCTGTTCTGCATCCTCGGTGGACCACCCTTGGCCTTGACAAGTTTTCCGATGCTCCCCACACCCTCACGGGCATCAGTCCCTCCTCTGCGCAGTCAGTCCTCGTCCAAATGATTCAGGCCTCGGGCAGTTTCTCGGGAGCGTGGGGGGTGGGGCTCTGGGAGGGCTTCGCCTGCAGCTCCCACCCGGCCACTATCCTGCTGCTTTCTGTCTAGACCAATTTCCCTCGGCTCTGCAAGGGTGTCCAGACCAGGAGGGAATGTGTCTCACAGCCTGACAAGGCAGCCCAGCCGTGATCCCGGCACCTGACCCAAGCCTGGGAGCTGGTGTTCTGTGGTATGTGTGTGTGGGCGGGGAGGTCATCATTTCCTTGGCCTTGCTTCCAGGTAGGGCAGCAATTAAAGCCTCGTGCGCATGGCAGGTGGCCCTTATGCACCACTTGTGACGAGCCTTAGCTGTGTGGTTCTTGAATGTTAGCTTGTTTCAGAATGACCATGGACTCTTGATTAGAGAGTAAATTCCCAGGTCCCTCCTCCAGGGGGTCTAAATCAGTGTGTTTTGGGGGCAGGGGACCCAGCAATGTGCATCTTAGCACACGTTCCCCAGGGGTTCTGATGCAGGCAGACCCCAGACCCCGCTGAGAAATGCTGCTCTAGCCTGTTTCTCCAGAAGGTACCAGCCTGCAAAAGGCACGCCCAGGAGCCCTTCCAGTCTACAATTCCACTCCTGTTCTCAGCGTGGAGGGAAGTTCTTGGGGAGGGCGCCAGGCCATAAGGCCACAGCTTAGTCACGCACGTGTCCT